CATAACAACAAAATGCTAGTAGGACCCGCTCAACCGCCAGAAAAACAGGAGTGGACGCTGGATTCTGCCAAGAGGCAAAATTAAGACGTTCACTTATCAAAATCCAGGGAAGGAGAAAATAAATTGTGGAGTGGGAAAAATCCAGTCAAGATAAAAAAAAAAAAGAAGATAAAAACAATCTGGAGAGATTGGGAATCTTGATAACGACAACAACAAAAAAGTATGTGCGCGCGTGTGTGTAAGTGTGTGAGTGTGTGTGCGCGCGTGTGTGTGTGTGTGTGTGCGCGCGTGTGTGTGAGTGTGTGTGCGCGTGTGTGTAAATGTGTGGGTGTGTGTGTGGTGTGTGTGTGCGCGCGTGTGTGTGTGGAGTGTGTGCGCGCGTGTGTGTAAGTGTGTGAGTGTGTGTGCGCGCGTGTGTAAGGTGTGTGTGCGCGCGTGTGTGTAAGTGTGTGAGTGTGTGCGCGTGTGTGTGTATTAGTGTTTAGACAATAATACTCGTATTCGAATTGCTATATGATCGATTACTCATTGAGGTGACTTCTTCATAATATGGTATCATCATGGTTTTAGAAGCACAAAACGATAAGACCTTGTGTTCAAGCAAAATGACTTTGTTTAGCTACAGATCATGTAAGAATGTGAGTTTTCTCTCAGAAACTGAAAATAATATCTGTTCAGCATGGTGCTTCTGTGGCTGTTGAAGAAACATTAATTTGCTTGAGCAGTTTTCAACAACAGAATGAAAACTTTGCTTCCACACTGCGCCCGACTTGATTACGAGTTATTAAAAGCGCATGGCGTGGAAAGGCCTCTCATCTACAAACACTTTTCTCTACCTTTAAATAAACATTTTATTTATTTTCATTTTTTGCATAATCATCAGGAGAAAAGGGCGGGGGTTTAAATATAAAAATATCATTTAAGTAACAAAACAATAACCTCACTGACGACAGAGACACTTCTTCTTCTTGCCGTTGTCGTCGTCCCATAACATGCCAGGGCCGCTGTGTGGTGGTGGCTTGCTTCCCAAGAAACAATAATTGCCTTCTCACCACACCCGACTTGATTACAAGTTATTAAAAGCACAGGGCATGGAAAGACCTATCCCTTACAGGCACTTTTGTCTGCCTTTGAATAAACAGTTTATTTATTTTCATTTTTTGCATAATCATCAGGAGAAAAGGAGAGTTTTCCCATAACATGCCAGTGCAGAAGAAACAATAATGTCCCTGACAACAATGACATCTCTTCCAGTCACTGACCAGCGGTCATTGGTCTGGGTAAATCTTTACACCCGTCCATTCGTCGTCGTTTTTCGACCATCTCTTCTCCTTCCACCTTGTACCATTCCTTGTAATGTGGTCTTGGAGAGGCCACGCGAACTGGTTACGTGGCCATTGCCATTTCAGTTTCCTTTTTTTTATGCTACGCAAAATGTCTTTATAGCCGTTTATCTAAATGACACACTCTTCTGCGTGATATTTAACGAGAATAATAATACAGTTTCAATCTTCCTCGGCCACAGATCGAATGGTACAATCATTCTAAATATTAGACCTACTGGAGTGACAGGGTGTAATCGATTTCTATTTTTTCTTCAGATTTGCAGTGGTATGCAGTAATATGAATCTATTTTCGGGGTGTATGATGAAATTTGTTTGGCCTTGAAAAATACTGCGTCATCCGTGATTGCATCAGATTTTTATCACGCCCAGACACTATTGTCTCTACTGTTGATTAGTTGTCCTACGGCCGTTGTCTGCGATGGACGTTATTCAAAGTAAGCGCACGAAAATTGTAACGCTGCACGAACACAGCAGCAAGCCTTACCAGTGAGCAAATCAAAGTATTATCGATTGGCATGGATGGTGGAACTCATCCGAGTTTCTCTTTTACCCATAGGACTGTGCCCCCACGAGCCACGACTACTATCTCCAAGCCGCTCAGTTCAAAGCATTAGAAGCCGGTTCAAGGATATACAAGTGATAGAAATTAGTAGAAAATTATGATTAAATCTGATTCGCTACCTTTTCGTCACCGAGACCCGTTAGAACAGTTGGTATGAGCGGCTTGTGGATAGTAGTCATGGTTCGTGGGGGGGGGGGCACAGTCCTGTGGGTAAAAGAGAAACTCGGATGAGTTCCACCACGGAATATGTGATCGAGCGGCGCTATGTCGAGTCTGATTCGCTACCTATTCGCCACCGAGGCCCGTTTGTACAGTTGGTAGGACGTTTACCTGATAACGTAACTGTCCGGGTTTCAATTCTCGTTAGTGGATGCGCACTGCTGATGAGTCCCAAATATAGGACGAAACTGCCGTCCAGTTCTTTCTGAGGTTTCTTCTAGACTCGATGAATTACTTAATTATAATTATCTCAAATCCTCCTAATTTCTATCGCGCACGCATATATATATATATATATATATATATATATATGACCCAACAACCATTCCTGTTGTTTACAAAAAGAAGGTTGTCTCATTTTGATAAAATTTCCCAAAATCTTTAAGATGAAATTCATAATGCGATTATAATTCACACCAAAAAGGTATCTTCATGAGAGACAGATTTATATTGCCGATTATTAACGAAATTTTCAAGATTGCAAACCCGGATTTATTTTATTTTCTCGAACATGCTCTCATAAGAGAGGAACGATAACCGGTCAGCTGCTTCTAATCTACTTTTCGAACTCCCACTTATAGTAAATGTTTTTTTTTTGCCTCATTTCTCTTTTTCCATTTGAATAAATATCTCCGCTTTTATAATATCTCCGCTTTTATAATATCTCCGCTTTTATAATATCTCCGCTCACAGGAAAGAAAATGTCATAAAAATAGAACAGACAGTGACAGAATGGCAAGAAAAAATATTATTCATAAAATAATAGAACTCATTTTTTAAATTTCGATACTGTCAAGCCGCTATCGTTTCCTATATTGCTATTGTCTCTAAATTCTCCGTCCTGTCCATTTCGCTCTTCACCGGTACTCGAACCCGCGACCATTCAATTATCGCACATACCATTCCGTTTAAACTTACCAATATGCTTTAATTACGATAATTTCGCTAATATAGTTTTACGGCATCAGCAAATCTTTCGAATAAGTAAACGGCAGGGAAAGGGGCAGAGCGGAACAATGACGAGGAAACTGACCTGCTGAACGTCGGGTATTATTGCTACTATAAAATAAAGCTAAGAAAAACCATTTTTTTAAAAAAATTCAAATGCGCAAATTTCGTTTTTAAATAAAATGGTTTAACTTTTCTTTCTATAAAGATAAAGAAATAAAATATTTAAAGAAAAAAAAAAAAAAAATCCAATAAGTTAATTGTTTATTTTCATTTTCTGAACAAAAATTTACAAAATATTTTCAGAAAAGAAAATGTCGGATTTTCAAAGTATATTATTAAAAATGACAATATTTCTTACTTCACTTTATATATTGTTTTACTTCCATTTCCTCCCGAACTGTGGTCTAAATGCTAAGATGCTTTCCACTTAAGCAAGGTGATGCTTTATTTGAATAACGAAGCCGTTTAAAAGCCAACAAAACAATCGCTTAATCTTTTATCAACATCACAAAAGAGCAGATTGAAAAAATTGAAAAAAGATTGAAAAAATGAATAGGAAAAAATCATTAAAAAGAAGTTTTTTAAAAGCTGAATATGCAAATTGATTATCGCCATTAAACAAGAAGTAATATGTTGCTCAATATATAAGACACGTGGTGATAGATGTAAATAATAAAAACCGCGTTTTTATGATATCCCAACTTTATGATTTGCAAACGCATTTGCACACACCCTTACGGACAAATGTCTGATTCTCCTGCTATATATTTAGAGGTTCTTTATAAAATAAGAATAATCTGCAATGTTATTGATGCTGACCTGGCATCTCAGCTTCAGTTCCTTTCCCACCGCCGTAACGTAGCTTCCCTTTGCCTTTTCTATAAATATTTTCATGGTAATTGTTCTGTTGAACCTTTCTCTATGGTACCTAAACTTTATGAATACACCAAAGTACTAGATTGGTGGTCAGGTTTAATTATTTTATAGTTGAAAAGGCGAGATGTAACCGTAAGTTCTATGCTAACAGTTTCCTCTATGGAATTTCTCGCCAATGGAACTCTCTCCTATGTTTTTGCTTTCTTGTCAACTACAATCTACAAACATTTGAATACAATGTTAATCGTTATCTTCTGCCTTCATAATTTTTTTTCTTTTATTGTCCTCTCTCTCATCAATAGTAGTTTTTCTCATATTCTCTAACACTCAGTAAACCCTTGTGCCTTAGTGGCTTTATTGCCCTGCTGGGGTGAAATGAAAACAAAAACAAAACAAATAAAAACAAACAAAAAAAAACAAAAACAAAAAACCAACAAAAAAACAAAAACAAAAAACCAAAACACCTTTATATCCATATACATAATATGCAGGGTTTCCAGCGGACACACTCACACAAACTTTAAGCTCTGTGTATTAGACAAGAAATTATTCACAGAAAATACAGCAAAGAATTTGCTCTGAGCAAAACTTGAAGTCTCACGCGCGTGAGATCTACAGATTTAATTCACAATGGTCATTTTTATCGCTTTAATCTTGAAGAAAGAAATTCAATTTTTCTACTCTATACTTATGTCATTCTCACTAAAGAAACTTTGTTACTTGTCTGGTTTCATAATGCAAGACCACCTTGCTCGAAATCATTTGTAGACTTTTTATTTCAAAAAGAAATTATAAGTAGACAAAAATATGTAATCAAGGACAAATGTGTTATCTCTTCTGCGAAACATCTTTTAGATTTTTACATTCTTATTTCTTTTGAGAAATTATTTATGTATTTGCTTACTTATCGAAAAAAAACAAACAAATTATTTCTTCTTCTTTTTCTTCTTTTCACTACCGGATGCAGTTTTCTTCTTTTTAGCCTTAAGCACTTTGCGCACCTTGAACGACCTCCAAAAGGCTTGAATTGTGGTGGCAGCTCTCACCATCACGATCATTTTTCTTTCCGACTCCTCTCGCATTCGACGTGCCATTTCACGTTCATCAATGATCACAAGGTATTCCTTCTGAAGGGTGGTGAATTTCTCTTCCAGTTCACTAAGTTGTTTCTTCTCCTCTTTGTAAATACTTTCGATGGTCTCATACTCATCCTGCAATACTCAATGACATGTAACTCAAAATGATATAATGACATATATTTCAGTTGACATATAGCTCAGAAGGACATATAACTCAAAATCATAAATCACACAGAATGACATATAATTCAAAATGACATATAATTCAAAATCAAATATAGTTCAGTTGATATATAGTTCATAATATCATATACTTCAAAATGATAAATCGCTCAGAATGATATATAGTTCAGTTGACATATAGGTCAGAATAAAATATAGTTAAAAATAATTGATCACGATGAATGACGTATAATTGAAAATGACATATAGGTCAGAATGAAATATAGTTCACACTGACATATATTTCAGAATGCCATAGAGCTTAAAATGATAAATCTCTCAGAATGACATATACCTTAAATAGGATATTATGAGGCCGAAGATCAAAAGGTATGAAGAGATTGATTGTTATGTGCAAATGCAATCCTTAAAAATCTCTATTGTTGTGCAGCAATACGATTTCTCACACATCATTGGGAGATAAAATAGATAGATTCTTTTAAGTCAATTTAATGACTAAGATTTTTTAGGAATCCTGTTTCCAGTCTGCCTTTGAATTGGCAAACATAAAATTTTGTTAGTGATTTTAGATAATCATAAAAGGAGAGTCCTTTGAAAACTAGCCACTCAAAAGCTGAATGGGTGGTTTCCTTTTCCGCAACACAAGTGGACAGATAGGGGTGTTGGGACCCCAGCCAGTATCCATATAATGAGTCAGTGAGTGAGGAAGTCAGTCAGGAGGTCAGCAGTCAGTAAGATTAAGGACCAGCAGTGAGTAAGTCAGACGGCCAGAAACCGGGTATAAGAGTCCTCTCTCTGTGGCCGGAAGTTAGTAAGATAGCAGTTCACCTTCTCGAAGCCGAAGGAAGATCTTGCCGATTAAGTGGGAAATCGGACTGTGCGAAACTCCCCAACCACCGTCTTGAAAATATTTGTCATTATTCTTTGTTGAATTCAATCACGGCCACTGAGACAAACCTATGAACATGGCGAGCTGCGTGTATACGCATACAGCTAACGCTGGATGTCATCACAGCTTGTGCAACGATGTACGGAAGGGCATAGTTGACCATGTTTGCTTTTTCAGCTCAAGTCAGCTCAATCGGTTATAATAATTAGAAACATATTCTGATTTACTGCAAGCATCGTTCTAAACTTATGAGACATTTAAATAATTACAAATGTTTAAAGATATTTGCTGTATGCGACACAGTAACTGAAATCATGGAGGCTGTAAAGCTTGGAAATAAAAACAGTATAAGAAATGAATTAAAAAAAAACAGGCAAATATTTAAAACAATTAGTAAACACTGTATTTATCTTTGCAAATAAGAACGGTCATTGCGTAGACTCAAGAAATGATCATGAGTCATCAGATTACTTCTGTGGAATTGGTAGCCTGTTTACATCATATACTGAGAAAGACAATATTCGAAAAATGAAAAATAGGGCCAGGTCTGAAGAGTAACATCGGCAAAAACAAACACCAGCTGATATGTTTAGGGGCAGAATGCAAACATTATGGAAGCGGATTTGTTGTCAATAGTAAATGGAGGAGTAGTATGAGGCCGTGGGTCTGTAATACAAGCTTATTGTTCAAGAAAAAAAAATATCAACAAACAGAATAGCTCCAGAATGCACAGCTAACAAAGCCATGGAGTTTTACTTTGAAAAGACTGACTTTAAAAGGTTAAGAGGTCATCCAAGAAGCACAATAGTCACAACGCTGAACTGAGACATTTAAAGAACAAGGCAGAAAGATCCCAACGAATTCGCAGAGGACAGAGAAGGCTGGCAAAATATTGTCGAATCAGTATAGTAATTTTCCAAGCGTAGCTTAGATGTGGCACAAGGACGGAAGTAGGGGCACACAGTGTGGATCGAACTCACTACGCAGTCGTAATTGTTCCTACGAAACAAGCTTGTTAACAATTACACCGCCTCGAGGTGCCCTTGTCGAATAAGTATACAATATCACTGAAGATGAGAGAACATGTCACTTCATGATCTGAAAACGAAAGAATTTTGATAAAAATGATGATGATGATGATGATGACTTTCTACCAAAGAAAGTCTATAGAAAGTGCTTTAATTGCTAGATCATGCACAGAAAATTTGCGCCCGTGTTCTCACAACATTTTCATATTTCTTAGAGTGAACTATGTTGTCTCGACAAGTATCACTATTCCAGTGTCCTTACAATATGCTCTCAATTATCTCTCCTCGTCTTACATTCTCCTCATACCTCTTGAGAGGCGCAGTATTTATAATGTCAGGAATAGTCCATTATTATTATGGGTAAGTTCCCATAACACACACACACGCGCACACACACACACACACACACACACACACACACACACACACACACACACACACACACACACACACACACTAACCAAATCTGATAGTCATTACTAATACTTCTACTTCTTTGTATTATATTTCTGTTGTAATATATCTTTGTATTCCATACCTGTGTTCGTGTTATTCTTTCATTGGTTCTAACCTTGGACCATCACCGTGGTACAAGGAACTTGGACCATCACCGTGGGACAAGGAACTTTGGACCATCACCGTGGTACAAGGAACTTGGACCATCACCGTGGGACAAAGAACTTTGGACCATCACCGTGGTACAAGGAACTTGGAACATAACAATATATATATATGAAAAAGATCTATACATTTTCATATACCAGAAAAATGTTAGGAAAGTCAGTGACTAAGTGGAAAAAATCGTGGAAAGCGTTTCATTCTTTCATCAGGACTAGAGTGATGTTTATTTTGATGTGATTCCACATGATCATGAAGGAGATGGGGTCGCTGAAATTTTAAACTTTTCAATTTAATTTATAATATATGTGTGTTTGGGAATATCGTATAGACAATTTCAGTCAGTTTATTTTTGTTTATATTTTTATCACTTTTCTTATTAAGTATGCCACATAGAAGATCTGCCAAGAAATGTGAAAATGTTGTGAGAACACGGGCGCAAATTTTCTGTGCATGATCTAGCAATTAAAGCACTTTCTATAGGCTTTCATCTTTTAATTAAAGTAGCATTTTTTAAAAAAAATCAAAACTATGGTCAGACTCATTACGGTGAGCGATTAATGCATTGAGTGTGTTGTTTTGTAAAATATTCCTTTTTTCTTCATATAATTTTTAATTCCTTTGATGTTTCACTTATGTATTTTTTACCACTGATCAGACAAATAAACCCACATTGCATTTCTATTCTCGTTCGCGCCACTGTTCTCAAAACTAGGAAAGGTCTATTGTATGTTCATAAAGGAAACGGGGAGTGGAAATTAATGCCACGGCAAGAAATAGAAACACAAATGCTGTTCCAGTAGATTTGGCTGTTTATTCGGGGATACACTTGCACGATTTAAGGATGGGTAGGTGGGTAGTTGAGATACCATCTACCGTTTCTGTCATGATCTACTACGAATCAGCTTATCTCTTCAGTCAGTGAGAATTCTAGCTTCCTTCTATCACCTCACTGCTCATCCCTATACTATAACCCACGGCTTCGGAACTTTTTCTCGACGACAGCCAAAGAACGGAATGGAATTACTCTCAGTTCTATCTCTGACTGCTTATATACGCCTGCTAACGGAAATTTGAAACTTCCGACTAAGTATCGCTTGATCTCGAAAGTTTTCATTTATTTATCTATTATTTTATTCACTTTTGGTCAAGTGGCTGGCTGCTTTGAAGACATTTATTCTAGTCATAGAAACACCGATAAAATTATTTAGAACACACTTTGCGCGTGTTCTAAGCCAGTCGTGTGGGGAAGCCACCGCGTCATATTTATTGGAATCGTTATTAATCATTTATGTACTGAGACATAGCAGTACAGTTTTAACGGATCAACCGTAGTTGGCATCGAAAATCAACCAGTGTTTATGTTGTACATCCTTCTCTACATTGCAAAGTTCTTACAAATGAGATCACCAGGGTCCACTTAAAAATGGATGGCTGACATGAGCATTTAAATTATCAATTTCAGAATCTGGTTCTAATTAAAGCCTGACAAATGTATATGGAGATAGAGGACTCACCTGAAGTTGTCCCATGTCCTGATCATATTTCTGGATCCAATTTTCCACTTCTGTCTCCGCCTTGTAATTTCGCTGAATTGAAAAAAAAAGCACACAGGCAGTATGATTTTACAAGTAGATATTAAAAAGCTGCATATTACAAGTGTGTGGGCCACCAGTGGCGAAACTGGATTTAAAAAATATTGTTTGTGAGGATAAAAGCGAACCCACCCAACATTACAATGTTATCGCTTAATTTTCACAACAAATACTTTCAAAAATAGATATGGAGAAAACAGTACAATTAAAACTAAAAAATTTGTGGAAAAAATGTGTATTTCTTAATAATTACAGTGCACATGCCCGGTATATATTCCTGTCATTAATAGCTGTCTATATCTCTGAGATGAGGTATTATGATTATTTGTATTATTTACATTATTCGGACCGTTATCCTCTTCTTCATTGTCATATTCACAACGTTTCAGCCGTTTGTACGCCCCGTTCTTTATGTCTATGTCTCTCTATATATCTGTCTATATCTCTGAGATGAGGTATTATGACTATTTGCATTATTCGGACTGTTATCCTCTTCTTCATTGTCATATTCACAACGTTTCAGTCATTGTACGCTCCGGCCTTCTCTCTATATATCTGTCTATATCACTGAGATGAGGTATTATAATTATTTGCATTATTTACATTATTCGGACTGTTATCATCGTCTTCATTGCAACATATTCACCACGTTTTGGCCGTTGTACGCTCCGGTCTTCTTCAGGTGATTGGAATTTGGAACCTTTTATTTCGTTCACCGTGGTAGATTGTTCTAGTTCCACGTGCCACATCTCTTACAGATGTCTCAGTTACTTCCTTTTAACTATCCACCACTCCTGTGGCCTGGTATTGAACTCACAACTCTTGGGCCATGTGTCCTAAATACCAAATCTAAATACAGAATGTTATAATTTAATTTTTATTTTTAAATAATTGGTTAATATTTTTAAATAGTTTAATTAACAATTTATACATTAGCATATGGTTTAAAAGCACACATTACACGCAGTCCGCTATATTAAGAGCAATCAATTGTGTTCACTCGATGATTGTTCAAATCTGCCAATAATTGCTTCTGCAACCAATTCATCTAACAATCCCCATGCAATAGATAGCAACATGTATGATACCAAATTCTCGGCAGACTGCGAATTTCTTAATCTTGTTTTTATGATCTTTAGCTTTGAAAATGTCCTCTCGCATTAAATAACTTATTCTTTTTTATTGCTAAAACATTATTTCATTTTTATTTGATAAAGGGTGCCAACTCTATCAGGGACCCACCAGCCATCAGGCAAGTTGATAATCTAGTCAGTCCACCACTGTAGTCTACGCGCACATATACTGACACAAGAAACTACGCATGCGCACTCGATTATGAGAATATCCAAAATCAGTGTTATTGAATCCTTTTCTCTGCGGACATAACATAGAAGTCTCATATATTATAAATAGAAATAATACTAGAACAATGGAATTGTTCTATTTTGGTGTCAAAAAGTCCGAAAACCAAGAGCCTTAAAAAGACAGGGGAGTAGTTTGAGACAGTTTTTCTTACCCTGCCTTCAATTGAGCATAAATTCAGTTTGCCAACTATACACGCTTCTCTTAAGTAGTCCTATTTTTCTTCTCCATGTTGGATTACACTCGGGCTGCATTCAGCTGTCGCTTTGGTTGAATGCTTACATTTCGTTTTCCTCTACCCATAGGCAAGTGCTAACACACACACACATAAACGTACACTTATAATTGACACGCATCCATAAACATTATTATGTATAAACAAATACAGGATCAATAGTTAGATAGAATCAAATGTGACTCATTATCATAAGATGAATGCTTAAAAATTAGATTCCTTGGTGGACTGAATATTTTTTCCACGCCCATTTGCAGAAATGAGCTCAACCGGTTTAATATACGTGTGGAATAATAGGTAAAGATGTATTGTAGCTATAACAGTGTATCTGCAGATGCCATGAGGCGCAGATGGTAATAAAAACAGTTTAACCCCGAAATCATTGTTTGGTTAGAAAAATGAAGCGCACCATTATGAGGTGGGGGAAGGTTTTTTTTTTTCTTGAGCTGCAGTAGAACGGATATACGAGAAATACAAGAATTTGGGATGCATATCAGTAGACGTTAATAACAGGAGTATTGGCGACTGATGCCAGGAGCACTCAGATGACTCCCAAGTACCTTACTGGCCTCAAAGGTTTCAAGTCCACGTCGTGTAGCCACTGATATTGTTATTAGGTAGCTATCGATATATTTTGGCATTTGTTATTTTAGTTTATAATTTAATGATTCGAATGGAATTCTAACGTCACATGTCCCCTTTCATTGGTATATTAATGGGTTAATGAAGACAACCATTGGGCCGGTATCTGGTAGAAGCACTTACCCTGCGAAGTTCCATTTCTTGGTTTCGATGATCATTTGTGAGATTCTGCAGTGAATTTCGGGACAAAATCAGTTCCTGTTGAATTTTGGCGCACTTGCCGTCACTCGTCTTCAGCTCTGAGGAGATGTTCTTTTCGGCCTCCATCTTAACGCGTCGGATGTTGTCTTCGGATTGTTTGTCAATCTGACGGATTTCTTCCTGAAGCCGGCGAATGATGTCGTTCTTTCGCCGAGTCTGTCATGGATCAAAAAACAAAACAATTAACGATTTCTTTTTTCGTCTCGAAGAACCTAACAAGAAGAAGAATTCTTTCAAAGGCCACATATTTTGATAGCTTTACTTTCAGTTAGAATCAATAGACATATTTGTTGAATGATGATGTCACCTATAAGTGTAAAGTCATATTTATCACAGAGAAAACATTAAGAAATAATTAATTATCTACAGTAAACTGAATAATAATAATAATAATATAACTAGGAATTATAATTGTTAACTAGGAATTATCAAGCACATATACTAAAATATTGTGTTAGCCCAAAATGCAGATTCTGTGATAAATATCCTGAAACAACTGATCATCTTGTATCAGGTTGCACGATATTGGCAACCACTGAATATAAAACCTGGCATGACAGAGTGGGCCAATATCTGCACTGGAAAATCTGCAACTTCTACGGGAAGGAAACTGAAAGAAACTGGTATGAACACCACCCAGACCCGGTTACAGAGATAGGACCTGTTACAATTCTATGGGACTACACAATACACAATACCCGGTTAAGGCAGTGGAGAACTTGGAGAGGGGAACTAACAGGAGATAACTGATTACTGATATCCATTAAACATGGCACGTGGAACTGGAACAGTCTATCCCAGTGAGCAAAATAAAGGGTTCAGTTCGACATTCCAACCATCTGAAGAAACGTTGCAATAAATATGAGGACAATAGTCCGAATAATGTAAATAATGTACATAATACCTCATCTCAGAAATATAGACAGATACAGAATAAAGGTTTCTATGACTTACTGGATACATATGCAATCACCATCGGTTGAAACGCTGTGGGTATAATAATTAAAATTTAAAAAAAATCAATGAAATTAAAATAAAAATAAATTAAAATTTAAATTTGAAGAGACAGTTGAAATTTTTAGGGCACATAATGAAGAAAGAAGGCTTAGAGAATTTGAGACACATATGACATATTGAAAACAGGCGAGTCAGGGGAAAACAGAATTAACCTAGCGAGCACTTGTAAATGGTTGACAGAATAGGGTTTAGCAAAAAAGAGAAGCCTTACAAGTTAGAAAGGGGAAGAAATTGGAAAGCCATTATAGCTCATGCTCTGAAGGGGACAAGGTACGAATAATAATAATAATAATAATAATAATAATAATGATAATAATAATAATAAGAAGAAGAATAAGAAGAAGGGTGAATGTATCACGTAAAAAAAGGTAGCTAGGGGTGGTAATGGTTTAAGGTAATATTTTTTTTTAATCAATTCACCCCAACGAAGGTGATAATGCCACTAAGACTTCAAAGAGCTACTGGGAGTGAAAGAGAATGAAAAAGACTTTAGAAGGAACCGGAAACCAAATGCCAAATAGGAAAACAACGGATTAATCTCCACTCCTGTTCAAAAGAACGGGGAGGAGGAGTGTTAACAGGACGATAGGCAAACCTATCTACACTTGAATAGATTTGATTTTCTTTTGTTAAAGTTTAACTCTTGCTAAAGAATGAACACTCATTGATCTTTTTTGTACTTAGGTTCATTATTCTTTTTATTTACTTTCCTCCTCTGCTTACCTGGGAGATAATCAAATGTCAAAATGTTTCAATTAATTTTTTATTATTTTATTCTTACCTTTTCCCACCTCATTTTACTTCAGGTAATTTGATTTTACTGCGGCATTAAATTATAACGAGGAGTGGCGTTACATAAGGAACCATTTTCCTTCTGTAAATATCATTTTGCAGTATTTCAAATCACCGGGTAAAATAAAAAGAAAATGTTTAATTTGTAAAATATGAATCACTTTTTTAAGTTCTCTTAAATATCTGGGAAATGTTTTAACAGAGGACGGAAAGTGTGAAACCGAAGCCCGAGGGCGTAATTGGGATAGCGAAAGATGCCTTCCAAAAGCTAAGCAGAGAACTAAGAAATAGAAAAAAATCGCTAGAAACAAGGAAAAAAGTACTAAAGTGTTACATAGTATCTGTCCTCCTATATGGCAGTGAATGCTGGACAATCTCCTCAAAGAGGAAGAGGTGACTTGAAGCAACACTGGTTACACAGAAGGATGCTGAGGATACTGTGAACAGAACATATGAGTAATGACTAAATTTAGAGCAAATAGAAACAAAAAGGAAGCTAATAATTAATATGAAGAAAAAGCAATTGAGATTTCTGGGTAGCATAATGAGGAAGGAGGGCTTGGAAAATCTGATACTCACAGGACAGATTGAAGGCAAGAGAAACAGAGAAACGAGAACAGAGAATCATACTTGATGTGTTCGAGTGAATGGATGGCGGAACAGCGCTTAGGGGAAATAACAGAAAAACAAAGTTTATTAAGGGACAGGAACTTGTGGAGAGCCATGATCACCTAAACAAAGAACAATATCGTAATTAGGGTGGCGTTACACCCCGAACCATTTTCTTTGTGTAAAAATCCTTTTGCAATCTTTCAAATCACTGGGTTTAAAAATGCTTAATTTGTAGACTATGAATGATTTGTTGAATTTCTCTGAACACATCAAATTGTAAATATTGCCATTGGAACCTTCGTAGAGCGAATATGATTCTTTTTTTTTTCATCTTTTCGTATTAAGGAGACACTGCTCAGGGCTCTATTAGTGGATTTCCTTTGTTTCTTATCTTCATCAATGACCTTCCCGATGTCATCAGTTCTCAACTTCAGTCTTAATAGAAAGCAGAAAAAACCCCCCAAAACCTCGGATGCCAAAGAAGATGGACATTGGGAACAGAATAGTCATTTAAGATGGTTGCCAGAGCATAATACTCTCAGTTCATTGAAAATAATTATCGTATATTCCGGCTGACAAGACGCACATTTTTTCCTAAAAAATACTCTGAAAAATACGTGTGCGTCTTCCAAGACGAATGTAAGGTAACGCCCAGGCTAAAGTAAGCTTGGACGGTCACCTAAGTGGCTTGACTGATAGGGACGTGGATTTGTATGTTGAGTAATTACACTATAAACTCAGCTATCTATCAGATTTTTATATGATGTAACCTCAGTACGTTAGCTGTTACACGTGTTTCCAAGACTATAAACCTTCCTGGAGCTGAGCCATATTCTTAAACATGCTCTTTTTACTAGCAGTGGCGGGAGCCTTTCTGCTTTTGACTAGGATGTCATTGCCATACAAACAAAATCGGACGAGTGATTAATGTAAACAATTTGTGACGCTAGTATGTGAGGGACGCATGACGAAGTGTATTGTATGAGAATCATTTTTTTTTTCTTAGAAATTTCTTTCCAATATTAAGGTGCGTCTTCCAAGCCGCAGCGTCTTGTAAACCGGAAAATACGGTAAGTTGAAACATTTATTCCAACTGACCGATTATTCTTGCTGATCAGTTTTGTTGGGAGGGGTGGGGGTCGGCAGATTTAAATTTTGAAATTTGTAAATTTTTTGCTTGTTATTTATTGAATTCTTCATTTATTTTCTTCTACAAACCGTGACTTAAAAAAATATCTTATGACAATATCACGTTTTAACATCGGTTCCTGTGCTATCCTTCGTTAGTTTATTCGCTACTTACTTTACCTACTTCTCTAACATTCAAAATATAAGTGTCCATTTATTTACTTTTTCCTTAAAACTTCTTCGTTACTCACAAGTTCCGTCCGTGGTATTCTCAGCATCCTTCTGTAGAGCGATATTTCTGTTGGCTCAACTCACGACAAATAATTTAACAGCTGGTTAAAGGAGAAATCCTTCTCAAATCTGTGAAAGGTGTCAAACGTATGCTCTGTTTTCAAGAACGCTGGTGAGCACATATCCCCATTACAATATAAACTCATTAGCCTACTCAGTGTCATTAGCAAACTTTTTTGAGCTATAATCAACAAGAAGGTTGTTGATCACCTCACTAGGGACAACTACTAGAGCGACAAATAGTACGAATTTCGATCAGTTCTGTCCATTGCTGATATCCTATCCTCATTACTCACAGAATCAGTGAGACTGTGCAACGTCAAGGACGATCGCATTCAATATTTCAAAGGTCTTTGACTAGGTGTGGCATAAATGATTGCTGCACAAGCTCTCTAGCTATGGAAACACTGCTAGAGTCTGTTCAGTTATAAAGTATTACCTAACGAGTAGGCAGTTGTTAACGGCCAGTGATCAACGTAACCGTCCCACTATAATGTTAGGCAGATCATAAATGATCTCCTGAAGATTATGCTCCAATCATTTGTGAATATCTATGCTGATGATAGAACAGTATATGAGTGCACCTCCAAAACTCGAGATGACCAGAGATTAGCATCTGATCTCTCCTCTGATCGAGCTCTAACAGCTCAGTAGAGGAGAAACTGGCTGGTTACTTTCAATTCTTCTAAAACCAAAATAGTAACGTTCCCACGTGTGTTGAGTGCGTACTAGGACTTAAACTCTACCCAGACCTTAAGTTGAACACATACATTCGATCCATCACTAAAGATGCTGGAAAAATGGTCGGTTTCCTGTACCGCGCCAGAAATCTTTGCCTTTCACCAGTATGGCTGACGCTAACCTCCAGGAGTGCAAACTCATTACGCCGTCTCGGTTTCCCGTTTTCGACTAACATGGAGTGGAAAAAATGATATTAAATTAATTGCTATGTCTGCTACTGGAAAGTTGATTAACAATATCTTGTCAGACAGTTTTTCTTGCCAGAATCCATCTTGCACGTTTATAAATCTACCATCTGGTTTGGTACTCCCGCTATATATCACTAGATTCTGGACAGAATCCAAAGAAGATTCTGTAATGTTATCCGTTCTGACTTGGCATCTCGACTTCAGTCACTTTCCTACTTCCGTAACGCGGCTTCCCTCTGTCTTTTCTACAAATATTTTCATGGCTACTGCTCTGATGATCTTTTTGTTTTCTCTGGTTCCCCGACTACATGAATTTAAGCGTGCTACTAGACTGGCATAAAAGGTTCCACCCTTTTACTGCTGAATTAGTTAAATACAGCCGCCACT